GAAGCAACTTAGCTTACCTGTTGTTTTTTGTCTGAATTTTTTTGGAAGTCAATGCATTTCAATTTACAATGTATAGAAATTGAATGTGATGCCATCACGTCCATGTTAATTTGAATTGAAGTGCTATTGAAATTGGTTTATGCCCAGCTTTAATGTGCACAAGTAAACAAATGTGGTCTAGGCTTTGTAGTCCACTGCTGGAAATCACGTAACTTCATTCAGTTTTACCTGCTTGATGCCTTCTTCATCTAGCATTTCAGGCTGGTATGAGGTTTTGAGATCTTTCCCTAGTTCTTATGGTATCTATTCAGTCCACCTTCCATCAGTCAATTGAGCTACATGACCAGCCTACTTCCACTTCAGACAAGTTTCCCCTCAACATTTTGGATGGTCCAACAGCTATTTGAAAAATCATTCAGTTTCCTTTGTACAGGGTTTTTTTTTTAAATATTGACACCCGCCTACAGCCTTTACCTTTACAGGTAGATAAAAGGTGTAAATACAAAAGTTGTAAATTTTTAGAATCCATGAAATCCAGAAACAAAAATTGAATGTAAGAAATGTGAAATATTGCATGCTTTCAGTTTTTCTCGAATGTGATGCGCTATATTTGGTTCTATATTGAAGAGCACAATTTTCCGGTTCCAAAACTATATAGTTTGTCTATATTTGGTTGAGCCGGCTCCAACATATTTGGTTCTAAAAATTTTAAAAATACTATCAGAGAAACCAAGTACCTCAAATTTCACCTACAGCTTTCACCTATACTGGTAGAATGATTCACAAAATCAAGGATAGTATTTTCACAATTTTTGGAGCCGAATATAAATATAAGAGATTGCTCAATCAAATATAGATCGGGGCATTGTGCTCTTCCAGAATATAGAATGAAATATAGGGCATCCCATTTGAAAAAAGCTAGAAGCATGCAAAATTTCACATTTCTGACATTCAAATTTTGTTTCTGACCATGGTTTCTAAAAATTCAGCCAAAACTGTACAACTTTTGTATTTACACCTTTCTTCTACCTGTGAAGGTAAAGGCTGTAGGTGGCGTGTCAATATATAAAAAAAACACCCTGTACAAATAAGTGGATTATTGCGGAACTTATGGGTGGACCTCTGCGGGACGAGCGCAGCGAGTTCCGCAGCCATCTACTCACCAATATACTGTTGAACTGTTCAAATAAGACACTCACCTGAAACGTGTAGTTCTTGAACTAATGAGAAAAATTCACAACTGAGTGAATCAGGTTAGTATTGTACATGATTTTGGTTATTGGTTATTGGTGAATAGATGGCTGGGTCCACCCATAGGTTCCGCAACAATCCACTCGTTTGTACTTGAATAACTTGTCACAATATATTACTAGTTTGGTAAAGTAACATTACTAATTCCTGTTAAGAGGCAATTTGACAAAAAGTGGATAGACTTACAAATTCTGACTTCATATAATAAGTTATTGTTCAAGTACAAATAAATGGATTGTTGCGGAACTTATGGGTGGACCTCTGCGGGACGAGCGCAGCGAGTTCCGCAGCCATCTACTTACCAATATACTGTTGAACTGTTCAAATAAGACACTCACCTGAAACGTGTAAAAAACTAATGAGAATAACTCACATTTGAGTGAGTCAGGTTAGTATCATAATTAAACCACATATTGATGAATAGATGGCTGCGGAACTCGCTGCGCTCGTCCCGCAGAGGTTCACCCATAATAATCTTACAAATTCTGATTTTATATAATAAGTTATTGTTCAAGTACAGTTTACCCCCCTCAACTTTTCCATGTTAGTATGAATTCAATCCTATGTACAATTGTTTTAGAATAATTATAGAGTTTCCTATGTACAGTTTTTGAATAATCATAGTTTCCTATGTACAGTTTCTCAATAATCATACAGTTCTGTATATTTTCGTATGGTTTGTAACGTCAATATTTCCAACTTCTGACAGTTCATTCGACTCCTAGGAAAATATCATAAGATCAAATAAAACACAATATATACTCACTTGTCGCCGACTTTATACCAATCTAGGAATTATTTTGCTTAGTTTGTCATATTTAACAGGTAACATCTTAATTTTACGCTATAGTATTTGGCGCCCAACGTAGGGCACCTGAGACACAATGAATGGCATTTTTCACGAGATCCTTGCTTATTGGATTGTGTTAGAGAATTAATCACGGTGCTAACGACATTGGAAAGTCAACGCCTAATGGAATTGTTCAATCACTATAAAGAGTCTATATGGCAGACCCTGGGATGCACGAAGATAGTTGAGCATAAAATTATTGCGAAGTCCACACCAATTCGCCAGAGGGCTTATAGAGTTTCACCAGTAATCCAAAAATGTGTGGATGAAGAGATAGATGGAATGTTGGATATGGGTGTTATTGAACCGAACTCTAGTCCATGGGCATTACCAGTGGTTATGGTGCAGAAAAAGAATAAAGGCAAATACCATTTCTGTGTGGACTATAGGAAACTGAACTTGGTCACTAAGCGGGATAGCTACCCTCTGCCGTTGGTATCAGGAACTTTTGACAAATTGAAAGACGCAAAGTACCTCTCCAGCCTGGACATCAAAAGTGTATATTGCCAATTGAGGACAAATCAAAACCATTAACAGCATTTATTTGTCGTCGAGGGTTATTTCAGTTTCGGAGAATGCCTTTTGGGCTTCACAACGCCCCAGCCACTTGGTAGCGCCTCATAGATGGAATCTTGGGACCGGATTTGGAGCCTCATGTCTTCGTATACTTGGATTATGCAGTGATCATTACTCAATCTTTAGAGGAACATCTTCGTATACTGGAAGAAGTATTTAAACGACTGGAAAATGCGAACATTACACTACTTTTCCACGTTAGTATGAATTCAATCCTATGTACAGGTTTCGAATAATCATAGACTCGATTTCCTTCACGAACGTATAGACTTTTTTTTTTCATATTTCTAAACAATAAAGTCAAAGTCCAGTTTATTATTGTCCCATTTCAGTACCTACGCGAACATTTTCCAGACATAGATGCCATTGCATAATGAATGAAGAATTTCAAATTGAACCAATTTCGATCAAATCGAACTTATTTTTCCCTGAAATAATGGATTTCCCCTTCAATTTTAACTAAAATACGTAGGAAATGAAATGCAAGTTTTTAGGCAATAATTATTTGCTATGGTATTAAAATGATATTCAGTTGAACATAGTAGTTTTTTATAAAACAATTTATTGAAACTATTTATAATTTCAGCAATACCCCAGTTCTCAACTGAAAATGAAATATAAGCATTCGAAAATGCATTGAAGTGTTGCCAAAGGGTATAATAAAATAGCGGCAAGGTAGATTAAAAATGATTTATCTGGATGATTTTGAAAAAAAATCTGGTGCAAATTTATTGGTAATTAATTAGTTAAATGGGATTTATTTCCAATATGTTTTGTGCTTATAAATATCTGCAGGCGATTTGATGTTGTGCAACTATTCTATGACTAGATCCTATGGACTTTAAACTATGAGCATGACATTAGAATTTATCTAAATTTGATATTTTATCTACTTGGTTGACTTAGGTTTGAAGTCATCCAAATAAGTGCAGTATTTCATTTTATTTTACTTGATAAAGATACCATAATTATTAAATCCTGACAGTTTGAATTGAAATCGCTCTGATTCCTTGAAGTATTTTTCATTTTTCTTTAGTAGTAACTAGGAAAAAAGAACATTATTTCATATCTGAGCCTCAGATTCGCTTCCAATTTGGTTTACTTTAAAAAAAGACTCTGATTATCAGATCCTGAAAATTTGAAGTCGCTCTTATTCCTAAAGTACATTATTAACAAAACAATTTTGGACCTTTACAAGTAAACTTTTTCTGAGTATAGTTGGAACAAAGTGAACATAAATCATAACTGGTGGCCGACTAGTGGCAGTGCATTTCTTATGGAAATTTTCAGGGACCAATCAGTTGGTACCTTGTTCCAATTGAATTTGGAAATACTATAGCTGTCAACTCCGTTTCATAACTAGTTGTTAACTTTGCTCTGAGCTTCCACAAAAGTTTCTGTTTTGGTCTTCCTCTAGTGTTAAACATGTATTCTCACCCTCTCTCGCCTCCCAAGTTCCATTACATCATTTCGTCAGCCCATTATGAGCGATATAATCAAATCTCAGCCGCCTTCGTCAAGTTTCTTGATAACAGTCAAGAGAATCGCTTTTACAGGAATAATTAAATTGTATGGCGACTTCGGGACTTTATTTTGTTACCCAGGAGAGAGATGAGAAGACGGCGATGCGATGGCGAGAAGGGGGTGTTAATTTCAAGCCTCGAGCTCGCAAGTCAATTTACAAGAAAATTACAATTTAAAAGGGTTATACTATAGTTTATTAGTTCCAGAAGAGAAGAGGATAAAATTGATTTTTTTTTTTGTCGATTTATATCAATAATAATTTCAAATTTAAACGCACTACAAATTTGCATTTTACGCACTTTATATTAAGCTTTTTTGCCTGAAGCACATAAATTAAGGGTAAAATATGCACTTTATTTAACTCGCTCGAAACAATATATTTTACCGGGAATAATTTAGTGATTTTTCAGCCACACATAGCGTTTGTAATAAATTAGCTACCAGGTATTCAAAATGTACAAATATCACGCTGAAAAATGGCAAATTGCAAATTAATTTCAGTTTTTGGCAGCTTAATTGTAGCAAAAAAATTGTTCTTGTTTTTAAATACAAGTCAACAAAACATTTATCGTCCAGATAAGAATGTACTAGAGGGGAAGGGTCTATACCTACACGCTCTAACTGGACTTCCGTTCCGCAAAGAAAAGTTTATAAATAATTTATGAAGTCCAAGAAGCCATTTCCACGGTTGTACTCCAAATAAATTATTTCCGGCTGTTTTAATAACGAAGTTGGGGACATTAACATTTTTTTTTTCCGGATGTGTTTCTAAATTAACGAAAAATGTAATTTTTTTCAGGAGTTTCATCGTCTTAGCTGCTGAAGAAGTTTAATGGACATCTTCCAAGAGAAAGAAAACCCATTAGCAACAGGTCAGTGATATTTGAAGTATGTTTAGTTGAAATTAATATACGATGTGGTTTCAATTTATAAGAAACTTAACAAATTCATCAAGGATATGGATATTATGAAGATGTGTTTATTTTTAATTTCAGTTTTGTTATAAATTTATGAAACTTTTTCAAAAAAGACTTATCAAATTAATATGAACGAGTTTCTGAAACTTTTAATGATATGCACGAACTCTATAGCAGAATGCACAACTTCAATTTTCATCTCATCGTGGTTAGTGTGGGTCAGTTCTAGGATCAAGCCCAAGTTTTAAACGAAACAAAATAGGGAGATTGAAAGCCAGCAACAGTAACTGCATTTTAATCGATTTTTTATTTTAGTAAGGATAGCGTTAACTATGGTAACTGGAAGAAGGATATTAGTAGTTAGAGTCCCGTGTTTTTTTTTCTTTTCATCGATAATTGCTCTCCTCAAATGTCCCATATCCTAACATTTGATAGCATCTTTATGAATATTTATTTGGAATGTAATTTTCATTGAAAAATAAAATTGAAGATTGTTTCCTTAGGCTATGGTCTGAATATAACCAAACGTTAACCAAAGTAACCGAATCGGTTGACAGATCGTTACTAAAAATTCCGGTAACTTGGGGAACGCTAATATGAAAAAAAAAAGAAGTGACAGAATTTACAGATAAAACCCACGAACCGACATCCGATAGCCGGTAACTATTTTGATAGTTGGTTAACCAGATTTCAGGAAGCCAAGGTCCAAAAGTAACCACTTTTCCAGGAACCAGAAAAATTTGATTACTTTCGGACCGCGAAACCACAACCCTGGATATATTCGGACAACAGCCTTATATTCTCTTCTGTCACTTGGTCTTGTTCAAATTTCTCCTGACGTCACATACATAACCTCACTTTCGATGGGGGGACAAGCAAAGCGTTTTGAGGACTATTTATACCATATTCAAACACACATCAGGCGATAGCTTGTTACAAATTAAACTGATTTTTTTACTTTAAGACAAGATAACCTAGGGTTGAAATTAATCAAATCCAAAATATGTCAAAATTCTTGAGATGTTTTAATTAAAACTTTTCAACTGAATTTTTTGACCTGTCTGGACTTCTATTAAAAAATTAGACCTTTTAGTCGAGATAATAATTGAGGGAGTCAAACAGAAAATGGCTATTCAGGCCTCTGGCCGGATTCAATAGAGAGTTGATAGGGATTGACACACAAATTTGGTTTTTCACCGACTGTATTTAGAGCAAATAGTCCAATATTCCCACACTAACAATTGATTCTGAAAACCAGAGCAGCATACCTATTTATTAGTCCAAGTTTGAATTGACTTACCTCAAAAAAAACGTGGTACAATCAATCAGCACTCACACAGAATGGAAGCCAACAATTAGATTAAAAAATATATATATATAATATTTATATTTCAAAAACAGATAAGTTAAGATTTATCAGGTAAAAACGTGATAATGATACGATAATATGAATATTGAAAAATCTATAAGGGAGGATCCAAAAATTCAAAGCAAAAATTATTCAAAATAGAGAGGACTTGCCTACCAGACTTCTGTTTTGGGAAAGAGAACGTTTTAGAAACCAAAGCCTATAGGAAAACGATCTTGTGTTTTTTATACTTAACTGCATTTTAACCAGTTTTAACCAATCAGACGAGTACACCCAAAAGACCATATTCACTTCACAATGAAAGACGGCGTGGAATAAAAGAGAATAGATAAAAATCCACTAGAATTATCTTAATTGTTTACAAATTATAATAATTTAAATTGAGGTTATGTCAAAAATAAAAAACTGTTAATTAAATAGGTCATTAAGCGAAAAAATGATTATTTCAGAATCAGAAGTTAGAAAAAGACAGAAATATATCCATTTGCTAAAAGTGAGATAAATATAATTTCTTTCAATGAAAATACAAATGACTGTCAAATGTGGAATAATTAAAATCATACTCATTGATCATACTTTGAAAAATAAATACATTAGGTACTAGATGGCAGTACTTGTAAATGAATAAAATATATTTGCATTTTACGCAGATGATGGATAGAGGGCAGCACTTGTATTACTTTGAACTTTGTGGATATTTTAGATTATTTGCCTGATTCTGAAATGAAAAAAAATATGACTTTATAATGAAAATAAGAAGAGATGGAACATGTTACGTAAATGATAAATTTATTGTAACAAGCTTCTACGTCACAAATCACATAACGTCACTTTCGATAGGAGGACAAATAAATGTGAATATCGTTCGTTTGTCCAAATGACATATTTTCCCCCTATCGAAAGTGACGTTATGTGATTTGTGACGTAATAGCTAAAGTCTAACTGATGTGTCTAAATAGTCCTTGAACGCTTTGTTTGTCCCCCCATCGAAAGTAAGGTTATTTGTGTGACGTCAGCTAGTGCCTAATTATTCTGGGATAACAAATGTCCAATCAAAGTGAACACCCTGGAAGATTGATGGGATGAGACTTATACTAAGTGTGCCTAATTTGGCATTCCTTGCTCAATGGACTTTATTATTTGTTGGTTTGGATAGAGGGCTTACCAAAGGAAACAAATGTATACTGTTAGTGCTGGACTGAAAAAACAGTTTTATTCGTGACCCTTAACGTAAAATTGGTTCCACAACATCAAATTCCACTAACTAGTGAAACGCAGTACACTTTTCAGTAGCAAAAACGTTAACTAACTTGAGGCCACAAGTCCAGTCACACAGTTCCGTAATTGACTAATGAATTCGACATCAAGGAAACAATGAAAGATGGAAACCGGAAACCGTCTCCAACAATGGCCGCGATTCCTAAAAATTCTACCTTTTCACCGTTTCGTACTCGCTCGACCCTGATTCGCATTGATATCTCCCCGGTGGTTCTGCCGCCTATGGCATCCTCGAATTGATTTTCCCCCTGACATCATGCACCAGACAGACAGAAAACTTTTGCGGGCTCTGCTCGGAGCTGCTCCAAGCGCTCAAAATCCGACGAGTTTGAACAAAGTCGTAATCAATACGCTTTTTGGCTTGCAATCCCCAACATCCTCCCCCCGTTAAAAGATTTAAAGGGAAGTACGAACAGCTTCGTAACCGGTCGGGTTAACGGTTAACACACCATCTTTGGTGCGAATTTTTACTACTCGGGTGTAGGCATCATTGCCTGGAAAAGTTTCAACAATGCGTGCCAGTCTCCATTCCATTGAAGACAAATTTTCCTCCTTCAACAAAACCATATCGTTGACTTGTAGGTTTCTTGATATATCTCTCCATTTTGGACGCTTTTGTACTCTAGACAAAAACTCTACTGACCACCTTTTCCGAAAGAGTTGCCTAAGTTGTTGACATTTTTCCCAAAACCCCAACTTATTTTCAGTAATACCTGGACCTTAAATATTTCTCAGGAAGAGCAGTTAACATGTTTCCTATAAAGAAATGCCCAAGTGTTAAACAAGACAAATCCAATGGATCTGCTGATACTTCAGTAAGGGGCCTTCAGTTAAGGATGGCCTGTATCTCACCATTGTAAATTGCTCAAAAGTGAAGACAACGCTGTCCATTAGTCGCTTCAAATGAAACTTTGTAGATTTAATCCCAAGTGTGGACTCCCAGGAGGCATAAATTTCCACCTGATCTCCTTCAACGAAAGATGATTGGATAAAGGTTTGCTCGACTAAAATTCTGTTGTAGTGAAATTTCATCAACAGGGTAAGTCAGGGTACTTGGAGATTCAGTGCTAGAAGAAGATTCACTGACTGCTAAGAATGCGAAGTCGGGTTCAACAAACTGTTGACGCTTCCTAGAAGGTGGAACGTAATGCTCAACCCGATACTTTTTAGTCTCCAACTTAAGACATTCTTGCTCAAGTTCCTCTAGGGAATTAACAACGGGAAGTTGGGTGGCGTAAAAAGGTGATAAGTTGCAAGACAACTGTGTTTCAGGTGTCAATCCATCATAACGCCTGAACAAAGCTTGCATGCAAGAAAGGTAATCAACAATACTTGCCGAGGTATCCTCCAAAATTTCCCTTAAAAGTCTAGGACGGTAATCGGTTGGTTCGAAGTGACGAGGAAGCAACTCACGCAAGGTTTTCCAACTATCGACTCTGTCACGGTTTGCTCTATACCAATTTAGAGCTTTGCCTGAAAATAAGTCTATGGCACATTCAAAGAGTTGGTTTTCCGTGACATGACGGATATACTCAATTCGGCCACTCTCTCCAGGAAATTATGGACAGACAATTTGTGGTCGCCTGAAAATTTGAGATTCCACTTCTCTAGATTTGGAAATTTGGAATTATTTGGAAAAATTTGTGGAGTGAATCGGTTGGTGGAGTTATGTACTGGAGAAAATACATGAAATTCGTCAGCATCGAGCTGTCGACTAAGTTCAGGATCAGCTTTAACAACGTCTCCAAATGATCCAAAGCAGCCAAAACGCCAATGAGGAGTTCAGTCCTTTCAGACCGTTCTTCCGTTGACAAAATAGAGTCAGGAATTCGTTTTACCCGCTCAAGCAAATGAACTAACCTTGATTGTGTGGAAATGAATTTATTTTGACTTGCCTCACCTGATATGGTGGGCATGACAGTATTAGCCTTATCAAGAAATTGCCGAATTTGAACCTTCTCGTCACCAAAGTTAAGGGAATATGGGGCAAAAGAACATGCGCGAGACTTTTCCAATTTTAGAAGTGGTCACAATATATACCTTAATTCGTCCACAGTCTTTGTATCACTAACGGAGATACCTCGGACGATAATCTCATGCATGAGCATTTCTTTTTTAAGGTACGAGATAGTCATTTTGTAGTCCATTCTGTCTAGCAATCAATATGTTAAGTAATCAACAATAAAATAAAAATAAAGATAATTGGCTATTATACACAGGGATTCGAAATACCTGTTATCCAAAAATAATTTTAAAAAAATAAATATTTTAAAGATAGAACTTGAAATTTGATTCTATGCACTTAAAA